ACCAGCCTGGGGGCCCCATAATACGGAAATAGAAGGGGCCCCCAGGCCCCTCGGGGGGCCCCCCTCACAAAAGAACTTGAGGGGCCCCCGGGGGCCCCCAGAATTGCAGCGGCCAGGGGGGGCCCCCCACTACTAATGAGCACTTAAGGGTACTGCTGGGGGCCCCCAAGGCATGCATGCAGTCTGGGGGCCCCCAAGGGGCCCCCAAGAGCCCCCAGGGATCCCCAGGGGGCCCCTGAGGGCCCCCAGGGGGGCCCCCAGGGGGGCCCCCTGGGGGGCCCCCAGGTGCACTGCTTTGCTGCTGGTTAGTTGTCAACATGACAGATTTAAAGGCTGTTTGACTTCTGAAGGAGTTGGCTAGCTAGCTAGCTGACTGGCTAGCTAGCTAGCTAGGCAGCTAGCTAGCTAGCTAGCCAGCTAGCTAGCCACACAAGCTGCTTCAATCAGCTGCAGCAGCTCTGCACAGCACACCAGAAGCAGCAGCAGCAGCAGCAGCAGCGAGGGCAGCCCCCACTGCTGCTTGTGCCCCGTGCAGTTGCTGCTGCTCTCGCATGCAGTTGCCGCTGCTGCAACTGCTGCTGCTGCCGTTGCACTTACTGCTGCTGCTGTTGCTGTTGCTGCTGCTGCTGTTGCTGCTGCTCCTGCATGCAGCATTATGCCTCCTCATTTTGCTGCGCTGCTGGCGAGGCCTCTTGAGCCTCAGGGACACCCCCAAACATATCAAAATCATCCTGAAGCAAACAGCAGCAGCAGCAGCAGCAGCAGCAGTAGCAGCAATAGCAGCAGCAGCAGCATTAGCAGCAGCAACAGCAATAGTAGCAGCAGCAGCAGTACTCTTGCGACTACCGTGGGGCTGCGTTGTTGCGTGGATACAGGAGTTCCTTACCTCTTCCTCTGCAGCAGCAGCAGCAGCAGCAGCAGCTGCTGCTGCTGCTTCCTGCTCCTCTCTTTTCCTTTTTCGAATAAGAGCATCAACATCAAAAGTGCTTTTTGCTGCTGCTATTTCCTCGAGGCCGCTCATCCGAATGCCTCCGCCTCTGGCACCGGACTCTCCAGCAGCAGCAGCAGCAGCTGCCGCTGCTGCTGCTGGTGGCGACTCTGGAGGTGCTGCTGCTGCTGCTGCTTCTGCTGTTGCTGCTGCTGAGGCTCTATCCGCGTCAGCGCCAGGGCCTGGCTCTGCATCACAACCCGGAGCTTCCCTGCTGCTGCTGCTGCTGCTGCTGTTGCTGCTGCTGCTTGTGTGTTCACTAGCTGCTGCAGTGGTCCCTTCCTGCTGCTGCTGCTGCCGCTGCTTTGGGCCGTCTGTGCTGCAGGCTGCTGCTGCGTCTGTGGGGGAGTCTATTTGACTTCCTGCAGCAGCTTCTTTTGTCTCTTTTGTCTCCTTTTCTGTCTCTCTTTCTTTCTCATCATCAGCAGCAGCAGCAGCAAAAAGGTCTTTGCGCCATTTGAAATAAACCACTGTGCAGGTCTTATCGTCTGCGCTGCCTCTAGCAGCAGCTTCCTCTACAACTAACTGAGCAGCCTGCAGCAGCAGCAGCAGCAGCAGCAGCAGCAGATGCAGTGCAGGGATGCCGAAGAAGGAGCGAAGGGACAGCTGCAGAAGCAGCAGCAGCAAAAATATGAAGGGCAGCAGCAGCAGCCGCAAAAACACAACGAGCAGCAGCAGCAGCAGCAAAAACACAACGAGCAGCAGCAGCACAAAACACAAGCAGCAACACCAGCAGCACAACAGGTAGCAGCAGCAGCATCTGCAACAACGCAAACAGCAGCAGCAGCAACACCACAGCCACCAGCAATAGTGGCCGCAAAGCAAAAACAGCAGCAGCAGCAACAGCAGCAACGGCAGCAGCAGCAGCAGCAGCAGCAAACCTCTTGGGGAGTCGGCGGGAGTTTCTTAAGAATTAATTTGACGACTTCATCATCAGACAAAACATCGAAGATGCCGTCAGACCCCAACACCTGAAGAAACCCTAAACCCTAAACCCTAAACCCTAAACCCTACTGTGTAAGACCTAAGCGCTGCTGCTGCAAGCAGCAGCAGCAGCAGCCTCATCGTAATCAGCAGCAGCAGCATTAGCAGCAGCACGCAGCAGCAGCAGCACCATTAGCAGCATCAGATGCTGCAGCAGCAGCAGCACCGCAAGCTTCAGCCGCATGGGCAGCAGCAGCAGCGGCATACTCATGATCAGCAACAGCAGCAGCTGCAGCAGCACAAGCATGATCAGCAGCAGCAGCCGCAGCGTCATAAGCATGATAAGCAGCACCAGCAGCCGCAGCAGCATCAACACGACCAGCAGCAGCAGCAGCAGCACCATAGTCACAATCAGCAGCAGCAGCCGCGACTGCAGCAACAGCAGCTGCAGCAGCAGCAACTGCAGCGGCAATAGCAGCAACAGCAGCGGCAGCAGCTGCAGCAGCAGCAACAGCAGCAGCAGCAACAGCAACAGCAACAGCAGCAGCAGCAGCAGCAGCAGGCTGACGAGGAAGGCGTCTGCGTTGAAGTCGAGGGCGAGGACGCGAACTGTCGGTACACTGGAAAGCACTTTGTGGGGTTTCTTCAAAGAGCTGTCTCCAAACCCTCGAGCTGTCGATACACCCAACGCCCCACACCGCCGGTTTGCTGCAAACGCGCGCCACACGCCCTGCACACACACCACCTGGCAGCAGCAGCAGCAGCAGCAGCAGCAGCGGCAGTAGCAGCAGCAGCAGCAGCAGCGACAGTAGACGCAGCACCAGTAGCAGCATCAGTAGCAGCAGCAGTAGCAGTAGCAGTAGCAGCAGAAGCAGCAGCAGCAGCAGCAGCAGCGGCAGCAGCAGCAAACAAAAGGGCGAAATTGCCTCAAAAAGGAGCTTTTGGATTAAGTGAATTAAAAGCTTTTGGAAGAAATGAATTAAAAGAATTAAAAAGCATTTGCGAAAAGTTTCTTTTTAGTTCAAAAATTAAATTAAAAATAAATAAATGATTTATAATAAATGAAATTTAATGTAATTTACAAATAAACTGAAAATAAAAAATAATCAAATAATTAAAAACACAAGAATAACTACAAACAAACAAATAATTAAAAATAAATAAATAATCAAGCAAATAGAAAAATAAATAAACAGAATTTATAGGTTAAGAAAAGACAAAAGACACCGAAATAATCCTTTTGAAGAACTGCATTTAATTAAATTAAAAATAACAAAATTAAATTAAAAATAAAACTTCAAAACTTCTTTTTTAAAGTGACTTATTTATTTTTTAATTTTAAAAATGCTGCTGCTGCTGCTGCCGCTGCTGCTGCACCTGCCCTCCTGCTGCTTCAATTCTTTTTCTTTCGCTCGGGTTGTTGGGCTTGTGGTCTTCTGTCAGTCTCAAGGCCTCCCCGTTCCTGAAAAAGGGTTTAGGGTTTAGGGATTAGGGTTTAGGGTTTGGGGTTTAGGGTTTGGCGACTGGGGCTCTGCAGTGTTTCTACGCCGGGCTCCTGCTGCTGCTGTTGCTGCTGCTGCTGCTACTGCTGCCCGCGGGAAGCAGCAGCAGCAGCAGCACTAAGAGTAGCGGCAGGAACATCAGCAGCAGCAGCACCAAGATAGCAGCAGCAACGGCAGCAGCAGCACTAAGATAGCAGCAGCAACGGCAGCAGCAGCAGCACTTAAGATAGCAGCAGCAACAGCAGCAGCAGCAGCACGAAGATAGCAGCAGCCACGGCAGCAGCAGCATTATCAATAAAACTTTAATCAACAAAAGCAGACAAAAAACTTTAAAAAGGAGACAAACAAACCACCAAAAGAATTCAAACAAACCTCCAAAAAGAGTTCCAAAAACCACTAAAAGGAGTTTTAAAAAACCACAAAAAGGGTTTAAAAAACCAACAAAGGGAGTTTAGAAACAGCACTGGGCAGCGTCTAGAAAACCACCAAAGGGGGTTTAGCAAACCACAAAAGGGAGTTTGAGAGAAAACAAAGATGAGTTTAGAAGAACCACCGAAAAGGGCTTGAAAAACTACTAAAAGGGGTATAAAAATGCACTAAAAGGGATTTTAAAAACCACAAAAGAGAGTTTAAAGAGGCACCAAAGGGGGATTTGGAAAACCACTGAAAGGGGCTTAATAGGGCACTAAAAGAGGTTTAAAAAACCACAAAAAGGGGTTAAAAAAAGTACAAACACCGGCTTAAAAAACCAGATAAACCCCCACTAAAGGGGGTTTAATAGACCACGAAAAAGGGTTCAACAGGGCACTAAAAAGGGGTTAGAAAATCACAAAAAAGGGTTTAGAAAGTGTGGAAAAGTTGTGCAAACCTGCAAAGAACAACTCGGGAATCTCCTGCATGCGCTGTGATAAGTTTCAAAGCCCCGTCAGAGTCCGGCCCGAAGAAAATGGCCGCAGCAGCAGTTGAGCCAGCTGAAAAGAAATAAATAAGTTAATTAAATTAATCAAGTTAATTTAATTTAATTTAATTAATTTAATTAATTTAATTAATTTGATTTAATTTTAATTGGTTCAATTAAATGCAGTTTCATTTCACTTTTTTTCTGAATCTTCAGACACCTCACGCGCCAGCTTATCCACTCAAAGCCGCAGCAGCAGCAGCAGCAGCGGCAGCATAGATGCAGCAGCAGCAGCAGCAGCACCATATACGCAGCAGCAGCACCATATATGCAGCGGGAGCAGCACGCAGGCAGCAGCAGCAACACCAACTCCACCATTTTCAAAGAGCAACAGACACAACTTGGTTCAAAAGACAAGAAAAAAAAAGAATCAAAAATAATTAAAAATAAAAAGAATAATAAAGAGGAATTGGAGAGCCACGCGGACCTTTGCATGCAAGGCCAAAAAATTATTTTCAGTTAAAGAAAAAGAAAAGGAAAAAAAGGGGAAAAAGAGAGGAAAAAAAGGAAAAAAGGAGAAAAAAAAGGAAAAAGAAGGAAAAGGAAGAAGAAAGAAGAGTGGGGAAGAATAGAGAGGCATTGGAGAAGAAAAAAGAAGAAAAAAGAAGCAAAAAGAAGCAAAAAAGAAGAAAAACGAAAAGAAACGAGGCAAAGAGCAACCCCACCAATAAACACCAACCCCACCAATAAACACCCCACCGTCTTGGGCCACGCGGGCCTTTGCCAAAGCCAAAAAGTTATTTTCAGTTAAAGAAAAAGAAGAAAAGAAACTTCTGCAAAGAGCCTCCACTTCCACAGAAAGCTGCTGCTCTTCAGCCCGCAGCTGCAGCAAACTGCCTCCGTTCAGCTGCTGCAGCAGCTGCTGCTGCTGCTGCTGCTGCTGCCGACGAGACGAAGAACCCCCACTCCGCTCTTCCCGCTTCCGCTGATAGCAGCAGACAAAACAAAATATGTACTTTCCCCTGCACACTAGCTAGCTAGCTAGCTAGCTAGCTAGCTAGCTAGCTAGCCATCTGACTAGCTAGCCATCCAGCTAGCTAGCTAGCCATCTAGCTAGCCAGCTAGCTAGATGGCTAGTTAGCTAGCCACCTAGCTAGCTAGCTGGCTAGCTAGCTAGCTAGCTGGCTAGCTAGCTAGATAGATAGCTAGCTAGCTAGCCAACCACCCAGCTAGCTAGCTAGCTAGCTAGCTAGCTAGATAGATAGATAGCTGGCTACTGACCTGGACAGTTCGGTAGAACTGCCTGTAGCAGCTGAGGAGGTTTTTGTGGAGATGGGCGGCGGCGTATTCTGCGCAGCTGCAAGTTGGGGTGTACGTACACCCGAAACGAAGAAGCAAGAGTTGCAGAGGCACTTCAAGTCAAACAGAGGTGCTTCCCCAAACCCTTCAACCCTAAACCCTAAACCCTAAACCCTAAAACCCCACTAAACCCCAAACACTCGGCCCCAAGCCCTTAAACCCCGCCACCAAGCACCAAATTCTGAACCCCTTCAAACCCCAAACCCTAAACTCCAAACCCTAAACCCTAAACCCTAAACCCTCGGGACTCACTCTGTGCCCGCGTGGCCGTCGTAGACTGCAGTGAAGTAACACAAACCCTCGGAGCTGCCCGCAACAACCCCAAGGGGCAATCCGACTTTGGTGATGAATCTGTCTTCGCAGGGGCCCTTTCCCTCTGCAGACCCCTGGAATTTGCGAGAAAACAAATTAAAATGAATTTAAATGAATGTAAATGAATTTAAATGAATTTAAACTAATTTTAATTCAATATGCACTTCAAATGCTTCATTTTGATGCAAATAAAACCCCTAATCGGACAAATCGGGCGGCGCCGGAGGCGCGAGCGGCGCCTGCTCAGGTGTACGTACACCTGAAATTCGGCGCGAGCGATGCTCAAAAAAGATGAAATTGGACTTTTAAACCATTAAAAATAATCAAATTTTGAACAATAAATTCCAAATAATTAAATGAAACTTTAATTTCAATTTTAGATCTCGAAATAGCACCATTTGTTCGCGAATTTGACACAGTTCAAGTAATTCGTTCGGAATGGGCTATTCCGAAATTTCAAAAGACAAAATTCAAACAAATAATTACTTTTTGGCAAGTTAAAGACAACTTTAGAAGGGCTTTTGATTGCAGGATATTTTTAAAACTTTATTCCATTCTGCACACTTGTTTCTGAAATGTTGCTGCGTCTAGTTCATCTTCCAAGTCCACCAAAAAATCGGATTCTGCGTCTGAGTTTTCCGTTTCGTTTTCTGTTTCCGTTTCTTCTTTTTCAACTTCCTGGCTTTCTTCCTTTTCGTCATCAAAAGCTTCCTCGCCAGCTGGCTGCCAGTCCGCAGCAGCAGCAGCAGCAGCAGCAGCAGCTGCTGCTGCTGCTCCCAGCTCGGTTTCTCGAGGATCTGCAGGAACCAAAAGGTTCTTTTCCGCGTTGAAAAATACTTTTTCTTTTGGATTGCAAAGCCAGCCGCTGGCTGCATGCGCGAGCCACTCGCCCTCGGCTGCTTCAGCCCAGCCGAGCTGTTCAAGATCTTTTTTGTGTTTTTGTTGGTTTTCTGCGAATTCCCACGGAAAAAAAGGCGGCGAAGGGTTTTCAGCCGCCATTAGGGAAATAAAACCTAAAATAGCTCTTCTAAAAGCTTCAAACGGATCAATTTGATGCTCTTTCCTCCTTATCCAGTTTCAGCCGCTTCCGCGGCGCACCCTGAGCTGTCTGTACACCCCAGCGCCGACCGCTGGAACAAACCTTCTTTGCTTTTTTTTCGCTGATCTCCCTCGCAAATGAGAAGCAGCTGCTGCAACTTATTAAAAGAAGTAAAAACTGCAATCTGAGGCTTTACAAAAGCTGCGATTTTCGCGTTTTGCAAAAACGCGAAAGTTCCATTTCGCCGCGAGCTGTCCATACACCTGAAACGCCTGGCCGCGCTCCCCCACTCCTCGACGAAACACAGCCGCCACAAAATTAAAATTGAGTTTAAATTCAGAAGAAGAATTAATTTAATTCCGAATTACTTGCAAAGAGCGCCGGAAAAAGCACACAGAGCTGCGGCAGCTCGCGAGGAGCTGCCGAGTCTTGTAGCTAGATGGGGGGCACTAACGTTTAATTTGAGTTTAAAAGAATTAAATTGTGGAATAAAACAAATAAAATAACAAAAATAAACAACTTGTAATCAAAAAGATCCATTTTTCCTCGCTTTCCACCGCATGCAGCTCCGGGGCCCTCAACGGGCTGCAGCGGAAGCCCTACACAGCTGCAACTGCTTTCTTTTTTATTTAAATATATTACTATTGTTTTAATTTTTCTTTTACTTTAAATTTATCAATTTAAATTGTTTTTCATTCACTATTTCTATTTTCTGTTTATTCCAGAAAGCCCCTCCCTGTAGCCTCGTCAACTTAGTGGGGTTTTAAAAGCCAAATAATTCAACTTAGAACTTCCAATTTCTGCTGCATGCAAATTCTCTTTTTGTCCTTTTGACACTTTTACACTTTTCACCCTTTTCTTTTTCATGGCCTCTTTTGTGCAATTTATATTCTTTTCTCTAGAGAAAATATATTTTATATTTCTACTTTTCATTTCATTCCACTTCAATGGAAATTTGCAGCTGCACTGATTCGTTGCTTCGCAGAGAGAGAGGAGCAGCTGGAGCTGCTGCACTAGCCCTAAACGCTAAACCCTAAACCCTAAACTAGGGTTTGGAACTGGGTAAGATATCGGCAACCTCCTGAGACAGGCCAGCTAAATAGGCGAATTACAAAACAAAAACAAAGCGAAACCCCAGTTCCCCTCGACGCAGTACGCTCATCTAGGGTTTAGGGTTTAGGGTTTCCGAGCCAGTGGGCCCTTCGCTGGGCCCCAGGAAGGATTCCACCTAGGGTTTAGTCGAGGGTTTGAGGGTTTAGGGAAACAGAGGATGCAAACGCAGATGGCCTCTGGACTCAGCAGCAAATAAAAAGATTTAATCAATTTAATTTCAATTTCTGAATTTGGCGAATGCAGAACACGAAGTGTCTGTACACCGCAGTTGGAACGAGCTGTCTGTACACCCCGACGCGCGCAACTGCACCTGTTCTTCCGAAACTAACTTTTCGAGAACTTCAAAAGCAAATTAATTAATTAATTAATTAATTAATTAATTCTTCAATTAATTAACTAATTAATTTATTAACACCAGAAGCTCGCATAAAAGCTCAAAAGGAGACAAATCGGGAGGGACAAATCAGGAGACAAAATCAGTTATATATATATTTATACACATCTATATACGCATATATATTTATATACACATATATATTTATATAAATATATATATATACATATTTAGATATATTTATAAATAAATAAATATTTGTTTATTTATTTACAATTATATGTAAATACTTATACACTTTAATGCAAATTCGTTAACTCAAACGCACATATGGATGCATGCATAAAACAACAAAGCAGCAGCAGCGATTTTCGCAGTTGGAGTTAAACTAAACCTCGCGAAGAGTAATTTAATTCCGAAAGAATTAAATCTCTTTTAATTGCATTAAAATAATTAAATCCTCAAACCAACAAAAAACCCTCCGACTCCCGCGGGCCCCGAAAGCCGCATG